GGATGAACATAGCGTTAACACAAGATGGCATTGTCAGAGACAGCACCGTGAGGGCAAGTCTCTAGCTCTCTTCAAATACCCTTGGAGGGCTACCGTTTCCTCACCCAGGGGACAGTTTTGCCCAAAAAAGTGCACAAATACCAAACTACACCTCTCCGAAGACTCGTTTGTCAACCAGGGGTGTCCGGACTGAATTGTAAGACCCTCAGCCTCACCACACGCCGACAGCCGACAATTGGATCAGGACGTGTGCAGAAATGAGGCACTACTTCCTTGTGCGGGCTGCAAACAGCGTCGATATAAGCAGCTTCAAAGCACATAGTGCAAGTTGTGTGGATGCAATGAATCTCGTGTAACGTGTCTGGGATCCTGCTGCAGCTAATTTCCTCAAACACTTCAAGGTGACCATTAATGAAAATCTACCTTAGCTTGGCAGGGAGATGTAGGTCTACGATGAAGCAAAACGAGTTGAAAAAGTCACCTACTACTTTCACTGCTGCTAAAGAGTGCTTAAGACTGTCCTTCCTAACCCCCAATATAGACAAAGAAAGAGTAAATTCTGTTCGAAGTAACGCAAGAAGACCCGCTCTGGCCTACAAAATGCCCCTCAAAATAAGTCAGTTATGACTTCCTGTACGCAGCAGCTGACTTGCTTTTTGATTAAATTTAGAATTGCACATACAGGTTTATCTATTTCTCTCCCCCCCTCCCCCCCCCCTCAATGGCATGTGCTCAAGACAGTACGAATGGGTACCTTCCATTGCAATCAATCAACAATCGATTTTGGAGCGAAGTGTAACCACCTGAAACGTCAGCCTCGCAAACCTAGGGATCAGGCATGTGCCCCAGATCGGCTTTCAGTGCTTTGAGCCACAACTATGAGTGATCTTCAGGCCAGGCCAGCAAATGGCCGTGCCCCAACGGTCGGTAAATAAAAATGACGCAGTTGGAGGATTGTGTTCCAGACCGATTATTATCGCCCACTTGTGGAAAGCCCTCCTGTTGGTGTCAAGAAGTTTCGCAGATGAAAATCTGTCGTGATATTTTCCGACTTCAGTATGTCCTGCCCCTTACAAAGCCTACTAGTAAGGCGGGCGTACCTGATGACGGAAGGGCGACGCGCAAACACTGTCGATCGAATACCTTTCAAGAACAGGGCCTACGTCTCACATTCCCATCAAGCTGTCCTCACTGCAGCCCCGCGTACTGACAGTTTGACGTTCGGCCAGATCTCACGTCGACTCAGCAGATTACGGGTGAATGACACCATTCCCGGTTAATTTCAGGTTCGATTCCATCTCTACCCTGCCTGTAGGACAGAGCACAGTGGAAGCCGTCCAGCGCACTGCCCAATATCTACCCTGACCGAGCAGGTATCTCCGGCCGCAATACTCGACGCGATAATCTCCTTCCGAAGTTCATTTCCAGGCCCATTTCGGCTGCCTCCTCACATACCCAAAAAGCCAAACAGACACAGCCTTCCCACCAAAAATGCATGGGCAGCATTTTAACGCCACCATTGTAGTCGGGGTCTAGGACGGTTTGAACGTCGCAAGCAACGACACCCACCGCATGCGCCACGGTATGCGCGCAGTGCCGGTGACTCCCGCATGAATTAGTCTATAGTGGTACAGGCCTCCACCGCATCTACTGTACTCTCTCCCCTCAACATCTAGACGACTGGTGAGTGTGGACACGGTGGTTTAGAAAGCCAAACAGCTCATCTACGCGTGCCGCACACAACAGGCCACTCTGGGGGCGGCTCGGATCCCACATGGGTGAGCGCCATAAGGGTTCATTGTGCGCGGATCAGATGTGCGTGTCATTTACAGACGGGCTGCTGGACTCTATCAGCCACTGCGCCCAAATCCACCCCCCCCTCCCCCCAGTCTTCTTTACTCCGTCTTGACATTGAGTCTAAGAGGGCGAGGGGGGAGAGAGTGCGGCAGATACTGTGCAAGTCTATCATCACTATAAACTAATTCACGCGCCAGCCACCGTCCCCTGCGCCCCCACCATGTTCTGGAGCATACGAGGGACGCCGTCGTTCACGATGGTCCATCGACCTGTAGGTTTTGCACACAATTAGGACCCATCTTCCTTGCAGTTCAATAACAGGTATGACGGCTGGTTTCATACCTGTCGCAAGTGATCAGCTTCTGATGACCTAATTACCCACAGAAAGACACCGCGAAGTGACCAACGTTTGTCAGCAACGCTGCTGGAGGCGGAACGCACTTGGGACTAAACATGCGAACACGTTAAAATAGCATGTTGCTCTGCTCTTATTGAAAGAATTTATGGCAGTTCGATCTTCGCGAATGACCATGCCCAACAGTGATCGCGGATACGACGACGACAATATGAGTGTGAATTAGTTTTAAGTGGCAGTAGACTTGCGCTGCGTCAAACACACACACACACTCTCTCTCTCCCCCATCCTCATACGCCCCATGTCATGAGAGAGTCGGAGGGGGTGGGCGCGGGGTGTGTCCGCGCCTGGACCTGCCAACCCATCCATCCTATGCTTGACATTTGCGGTAGATTTACAACGCAGACCGGACCCCGATCTGAGTCGCGCGTTGATTAAGCGTTACACCCGCGTAGACCGTCGTAGAGGGTTCTGATGAAATTTGTACCTCTTCTCCAATGTAACTTCTTTAGAATTTTTCCTGGACTGGGTAATCCGATGTTATGACAAGTAAATTACAGGTTGGCGCCACTCTGTTTGGTTTCGTGTAATTCTCGTGGTCTATGCATTATGCTCCGAAAATGACGCTCATACTGGATGAGTATGTGATTGGTTACACTCGTGCAAGATGACCAAGAATAGTAGGTCTTATAAATCCGACCGAGGCGTGGGTGAAACTTCCATTCGAGGTGGATATTCTTTCTGGGACACTGGTGACAAATTCCTGAGCGCGTAATTCCTTAGTACCTTTGACTACAGTCAATGAGTCTTAAAAAAGGTGATCTGGAAGTACAAAAGTCGCCAATTTTTGAACTCAAAGAGGATTCCAATCGCTGTTTGAAGGTTAGCGGAGCGGTCAGTTCAGACCTATCGTCAACTAGCCAGTGGTACCTGACGAGGACGACTCGACACTTTGATCTGAATACAGAGCTAACCAGTGCACTTAACCTACCTACTGATTCACTGCCTCGCACTCTGTTGACTGTGATGGGGAATATTTGCGCCCACACACTAGAATTGCGTTCACAGATCCATCACTATTGCAGCAGGAATGACAGTCCGGCCGTCGTTGTCGACGATGTCCACCGTGTGCTCCACTGAAAGGTGAAGCAGGCACGGTGACTTACGCGTGGATTAGTTTATAGCTATAGTAGACTTGTACAGCACCCACCACTCTCTCTTACTCACTCCCCACCTGGACCAGGTGTCAAGACAGAGTCAAGGAGACTGGAGGCGGGGTGGTGGGCGCAGGTGGACGGCGTGGCCGGACCCGCACCTAGGCGTGCCACAACACTCCTGATCCACGGCACACACTCGGCCGGGATATTAGCCAACAGCGACAAAAGAATGGACACTGGCGCGGCCGAAGCCGCACCTAGGCGTGCACCACATCCGGCCTGGATCCCATGGAGTGGGAATGCCATAAAGATCACGTTGAGAAGGAGCCATTGCAGCCTGACTCTTAGGCCATCAGCCAACCGCTCCACACGCAAGCACACAATACTGGGCCGACTGTGA